AAGACTAAATACAATGTTTCCTAACAAACTGTAACTAATACAGACTTTATAATTGTTTTGTGAACAGAGAGGCATGTGTTTCTGAATTTTTCCTCTGTTTCAGCTCTATTAGCTCTACTATGGCCTCTCAGTTCAGAATAAGTGAAGCAGAGATGAATGAGATGAGCAGTGTCCTGCTGTCCCACAAAGCCACAGATGTTTTGGCTCAAGTGGAAGGCATGCTTGAGCAGATGACCTCTGTGACCTTGAACATTGCTGTTACCGGAGAGTCAGGCGCAGGCAAGTCTTCTTTCATTAATGCTTTCCGTGGGGTAGCTGATGATGGACCTGAAGCAGCAGAGACAGGTGTAACGGCAACCACCCAAGTAGCCCTAGCATATCAACATCCAACGGCTCGCAATGTCTTGCTGTGGGACCTGCCAGGGATTGGGACTGCCTCTTTCCGGCCTGGAACATATCTGGAGGATGTTGGTCTTCTAAAATATGACTTCTTCATCATTGTCACAGCCGACCGTTTCCAGGAGTACCATTATGCACTGGCTAAATGTATAATGCAAGCCCAGAAGAAGTTCTATTTCATTAGGAATAAAGTGGACCGAGATTTGGAAGCAAATGCCAGACGCAGGACCCAGAAAGGTTTATCAGATGGTGATGTTTTGGACGACCTCCGTGCAAACTGTGAGAAGAACTTGACAATGTGTCAGGTGGGAAAGCCAAGGGTCTTCCTGTTGTCCTGCTTTGACCCACAGAGGTATGACTTTCCTGCCCTGCAGATGACCTTGCTGGAGGAGTTGGAGGGGCACAAGCAGCATGCTCTTCTCCTGTCATTGCCCAACCTCAGTGCATCATTAGTTCAAAATAAGAAGAAGGCACTAGCTGGAGCTGTGTGGAAGCGAGCTATGGTGGCATGCTTGAGCAGTGTCGGTGTGGGCAACAGTCTACGTTCCATTATTCCCAAAGTGATGGACACACTGAAGTCTTATCAGCAGGCTTTTTGTCTGGATGCTGACTCTCTACATCAATTAGCCAGCATTACAGGCATATCATTTGAGGTACAGTCTTTTGTATCATGCATTTATTTAAACTTTGAATTTGCACTGAGGAATGTTAACAAATCATGTTGCCTGTGGCAACTGTTGCCCAAACAAACACTGTCACCAACAGTTGTTATCTCAGCACTCAGAACTTAGTCACCATTTCAATACACTAATCTTTCAGGTATTCCTGATATGTGGCTGCACCTCCTAAGACCAGTTGTGCGTCATGATCTTGTAATTACATCTTAGAAGTTATCTAACTATATGATGTGTACTTCTAAGCTGTAAATATCCACTGTCCTTTTTCATGAACAGCTGTTTCTGGTAACTGGTGCTAAAATATATTGCAGTACTATATGTAATTACACTTTGTACATTAACTTGTATTGTGTTTCTAAATAAATTGTTGTGAATTAATTTCTATCTGCATCATTTGCTGCAGGAGCTTCAGAGGGAGGTGACCTCCACTTTTGGCAAACAGTTGTCAGCAAATGCACTGGAAAGCGCTCTCTCTCATGCAGTCCCAGTACACCAGGTCCTGGCTACTCAGCTGGAAAAGAGGGATCCCAGTTCTGGGTACTGTTATTGCAGGTGGGGTTTCCTTTGCGGCCTGCTACTTCCTGCTGACCTCTGCCTTAAAGAACCTGAGTGAAGATGGAGAAAGGGTCATGCAGAAAGTTCTTCTCGTGGCTGTTTCTAAACAAAAGTCTTAACCTGACTAGACTACATGGATGACTTTGATCTGCTTGGTAAAGAGCAACACTTTTTTTCTCTGAAGGCTTTAAATAGCGTGTATTCTCCGACTTTGTCTTTTATTTGTTTTATTTGTTTATTTGAATTTCTTTATTCGCAAACGGTTTGTGTGAAGCCATTTTGTTTTTGTATGAACATAGTAACATAGTGCCAATCCTGCAGGTTTGTTTTTACTGCACAGTTGTATGCTTTCCTGCTCAATCACACAAAATTCAGCTCAAGACGGATTAGATCGGTGCAGGTGCAGATGTAGTGCATGACTGGATTGGAAACACTGATCTAATGTAAATAATGCTCTTGGAACAATGGTCTTGATAGCAAGTACTGTTTGGATGATACATTGTGAATGTAACCAAAGCTGTTCTGGTATCCAGAGGTCTCATTTATCAACCATGTGTAAACCTCACTTTCTTTGCATGTTTCTTCACATGTAATGTGATTGACCTTATTTTTTCTTGTGATGGGTGGCCATTGTGCTCACACTGCAAAAATATAGCAAAAATACGGAATTTGGTAACATAAACATCAGTAAAACAAGTACTTTGATTCAAATAAAGCAAAGTAAAATAACACTATAGATATTTCAGATGATATTAATCAATCCAAGTTCTGTTCCACTGTTTACAGTTTATAGATGAAGAGCAAAGGGGTAACAACACAGATGACAGCTGATTTAGGCTTATAGTAAAGGCAAAGAAAATCATATAAAAGGAGCATCTGGAGAGTGATTGTGAAGGTGATTTTAATCTATTGTGTGTGTGTGTATATATATATATATATAATCTATATATATATAATATATATAATTTATATATATATAATTCAGCTTTCATATCGCTGTTGTCGGAAGAAAACTTCATATCTCCAAAATGGTAACTTTACAGAAGGAGGAAAAAATATACTTTACTTTTAATGTAAGTCAGTGGAACCAGATTTTTTTCCAAGTATTTTTGGGCAATTTCTTATTTTTCCGCTCTTCATGAAATTTACACACAATGTAAAGGACATCAGGCATTTTCAAATTAGGTCAAAAACTGAAAAAGAACAAAAATAGAGATGCAAGGTTTTCTTCCAACAACAGCAATATACTTCCTAGGCTAATGGGGATTTTTCAGTGAAATTTTAACCAAAACATAAGGAGGTGTGAAAAAGGCACTCCAGGTGAATAAAGCATTACACATTTATTGTAACCTGGATTTATTAGCTATGTGTAAACTTTCATGCTCTTATCTTTTATAGCTTCTATAAAGCTCGCATGGGATGAGTTCTTCCAGATTATTTATATCATTTTGACTGCTGTATAGATTAGAGCACATTTCTTGTTCATAAACAATGGATGAAGTGAAAAAACTATGTGGTCTGACTTGTTTTCAGTGTTTTGAAAATAAGTGGAGCATTCCGTTACAGCACACTACGGAGCCCCGGAGGGGACGGAGATATAAAAAATAATTAATAATAATTATTCGTGGTCACGATTTCTTAAACCATTCCCTCGTTTTATTTTAAACGTGCGCACGTTTTCTTTACTTCGTGGGTACGTTTTTTTTATTCGAGATATAAGAGATGTAGACACAGCGCGGCCGCTTAGCGCTGTTTCTGCTCCCGCGACAAGCAGAAGCAAATTAAACACACACAGCAAGGTTCATGTGGGATGAGGTCAACTGTCAAGAGAGTTTAATAGATCTATGGATTAGATGTAGATATATTAATGTGAGGATGTTGAAACGCTGATCATTTCTTCTTGTAATTGTGTGATGGTCTCTAACACCGCAGCTTGACGCGAGAGCAGAAACACCGTGGGCCGTTTGCTGTGCAGAGGAGCTGCAGTGTCCTCATAACCCCCCAAATCAAAATCAAACCCGATGAGCATCTCTGTTCATTATCTCATCAATCTAACACATCAAAACCGGTCAGACAGTCTCAGGGAGTTGTTATCAAAATACAAACAACGTGCATTCAGTTAAAAATAAAACGACCACGGGTAAAAGAAAACGAGAGAACGAATTAGAAAATCGTGATCACGAATTAAAAAAACGTACCCACGAAGTAAAGAAAACGTGCGCACGATTAAAAGAAAACGAGGGAACGATTTAAAAATCGTGGCCACGAATAAGAGAAAACGTGCGCACGAACTGCAAAACGTTCACTCGAATTAATTTTTTACCTCTGTCCCCTCCGGGGCTCCGTAGCACACAGTATACTGGAAGTAGAAAAATACACTTTGAGCAAATCAGAGATCTGATTCTAATAAAAAAATCAAGAAAGGATTTACTATTAATGGTGATTCATCTCTCAGCCTATTGATACAACTGATCAAGACGTTTGAAGTCTCTGAGCGCAGACAGCTCACCATGAAGAAAAGTTCTGCAATCTCGTCTCATTTGACATAAGTGGCTTTGAAACAGTTTCAATTTTTTTCTCCAGCAAAGGGAAACAAAGAATTCATCTTTGCTTTTGGTTGCAGTGGAAAAAGGTGGAGTTTCTCACATCTCACGTCATGGAGCTTTTTTGTTTCGTTACAATGGTTCTGTGGATCTGTCTTACATTACTTGCATTATTTAATCTTTTATTAGTATTGTTGTTTTTATTTATTTATTTATTTACTCAACCCTTGATATCATAAGAAAATCCTTTAGCAAATCAAAGAAAGCCTAAAGCAAGTATGTGTGCAGTGAATTGCAGTAGTTACTGCATGAATGAATGTAGATCACCAAGCCAATCTGGATTTAAAGACAGCACCAGTGGGTCAAAACTGTAAAATTGAAGTGGAAAATTTTTAGAACAAGCTACTGAGAAACACTTCCCCACTAAGAGGAAATTCTCGTTTCCTCTAATATGCACAATGAAGCAAAAACCCCTCTACATCAGCAATGTATGCATGTTTATATGCAATAAACATCAGTTTACCAAAGAAATCATCTCTTGTAAGTGTGACATATGATGGCTTCTGTAAGATCAATAAACAGACACTCTCTGTCAGCTACAGAAAGTTCCTCTTCTTACAGCACTCAGGTGTGACTGCTCAATACATCAATACTGACAGAGCGAAGGTTAAAGAAGCTGTGTGGTCTAATGTCTCTCTCTATATCACTGCAGTGTTTCAGTGATGTGAAGCTCTGTTGGAAAGCAAACACAGCCAAGCCTACAGCCACTGAACATGACCCACTGTTTGGCAATCCGGAAAAAAAAAAGTCAAACAGGGAACAGGGAGGGGCCATGGAGCAGCTCTTAACTTTCTGTTTCAGTGACTCTTGGGTGAACTAAGCGTTCTCTGCTCACAGAGCGATATTTTACTTTTTGTTTAGACGTTTCTGAGACACAGCAGCGTTGTTCATCCTACAGTGTGAAGGTGGGTGAATTATTAACGAGTTTTTTCTATTGCAGTGAATTTGTGCTCGTGCTGAACTTGAGAAGAGAAAGTTTAACAGCAGACAGAGGTATAAATTTCTCCTCTGCAGGATTGTCTTAAGTTTGTGTGATCAGTCCTTGTAGGTGTGCAGGATATTCACAATATATATTCGATATATTCGGCATATACGAGCATATTAGTTGTCGCTGTAGTCCTTAAACTCATAACTAGAGGTAGTCTAAACCAATGTGTACAAATTTAATGTAAAAAGTACATTAACCTACTTTTCTCACAATATTTGAGTAGAATTATTAAGAATTATAATAAGAAGTATTATTTAGAAATGCTTAGGGAAGTACACATTCATCAAATTTTCACTTGACTACATATAACTGAGTAGGAATGTACCTACTGTGCTGTAAAAGAGTGTTCGTCCCTCACCCTGTATCTTCTATTTTTGTTAATTTGTCAAATTTAAATGTTTCAGATTACCCAACAAAATTTAATATAAGGTTCCATTTATTGAAGATAAAGATTTATTCAAAATCTATCACCCATGTGAAAAACTAATTGCCCCCAAAACTAATAACTGGTTGTGCCACCCTTGGCAGTAACAACTACAATTAAACATTGCAATAACTTGCAGTGAGTCTTTCACATCACAATGGAGGAATTTTGGCCCACTCTTCTTTGCAGAATTCTCTTAATTCAGAGGGTTTTTAAACATGAACTGATTGTTGCCACGGCATCACAATGGGATTCAAGTCAGGACTTTGACTCGGCCACTCCGAAACCGTGGTTTTGTTTCTTTTTAGCTATTCAGAGGTGGACTTGCTTGTGTGCTTTGGATCTTTGTCCATAACCCAACTGCGCTTGAGCTTCAGGCCATCGACAGAGGTTCTCCTTCAGGATTTTCTGATAAAGAGCAGAATTCATAGTTCCATCAGTTATGACATGTGGACCAAGTCCTGCAGAAGTAAGGCAGCCCCAAACCATCACACTACCACCGCCATGTTTCACTGTTGGTATGATGTTCTAATGGTGGAATGTGGTGTTAGCTTTACACCAGATGTAACAAGACACATTTTCCAAAAAGCTCTACCTTTGACTCATCAGAGCGCACAGAATAGTATGCCAGAAGTCTATGGGGTTATCTAGATGTTTTTTTGGCATAAATGTAAGATGAGCTTTTGTGTTGTTTTTGGTCAGCAGTGGTTTGTACCTGGCAACCCTCCTTTGGAAGCTATTTTTGCCCAGTGTCTTTCTTATTGTAGAATTGTGTACATTAACCTTAACTGAGAAAAGTGAGGGCTGCAGTACATTAGATGTTTGTCTGGGTTCTTTTGTGACCTACTGGATGAGTCATCGAGGCACTCTTGGTGAAATTTTAGTTGGCTGGCCACTCATGGGAAGATTTACCACAGTTCCAAGTTTTCTCCATTTGTGGATAATGGCTCTCACTGTGGTTTGCTGGAGTCCCAGATCCTTAGCAATGGCTTTGTAACCCTTTCCAGACTGATTTCATTGACTTTGTTTCACATCTGTATTGGAATCTCTTTAGAATGTGGCATCATGTGCTGCTTTTTGAGACCTTCTAGCCTGCTTCAAGGTTGCCAAACAGGTTGTATTTCAGTGATGTTTAGATTCAACAAATCTGGCAGTAGTCATGCCCGGGTGTGGCTAGTGAAACTGAACATTCTGAAACATTCAAGTGTGACAAATATGCGAAAAATAGAAGAAATTGGGAAGGGGCAAAAACGTTTTCACAGCACTGTAGTTACCCACCTTTGCTCATGACAGTCCACTGACTGCATCTACATGTCAAAATGTGCTTAAAAAAGGAAATGTGCTTATTTTACCCCTCCTCATTCATTTGCATCTGTGTACTGCAGCAGTTTCACTAGCATTTTAATATAAGCAAAAATGTACAGTACATCACTGGAAATGTTGTTGTTGTTGTTTCTCCAGCACACTGAGTTTGAAATAAAATAATGAATTTGAGATTAAAGTGCAGAAAAGAGCTTAAATTTGACAATATTTACATCTACACACCCAATTCCAAAAAAGTTAGGACAACAGGTCTTTCAAAGGTATTTAATTGAAAATATCAAAAGAAGAGATATAACATTTTACCTTATCAACTTTATTGATTTTTGTAAACTGTTAATTCCAAAATTGATGCCTGCAACACATTCCACAAAAAAAGTTTGGACTTTCCACCAGTAAACAGGTAAATAAGTTACAGGTGATGCCATCATAATTGAGTATTAAAGGAGCACTTACAAAAGGTTCAGTCACCACTTTGCAGAAAACTTTGTGAGTTTAAGAAGGATGTTTCTTAACACATGAATTTAAAGATTTCACCATATACAGTCCATAACATTATTAAAAGATTCAGAGAATCCAGAGAAATCTCTGTGTGTAATGGGTGAAGCCAAAAATCAATATTGTATGCCCCTTAATTCTTCAGATGGCACTGGATTAAAAATCAACATGTGTCTGTAATGAATATACCCATACAGACTTGGGAATACTTCAGAAAACCCTGGTCAATAAACATATTTCAGCACTTCAGCAACATCCAGAAACAATGTTGACTTCTCTGGGCTAAAGCTCATCTGAGATGGACTCACGCAAAGAGGAAACGTGCTATCGTCTGACGAGTCAGCCTTTCAATTGCTTTCAGAAATAATGTACCTTGTGTTTCTGGGACAAAGAGGAAAAGGTCCATCCCAGTTGTTACCAGCGCAAAGTTCAAGTGACAGCATCTGTCATAGTATGGGGGTGTGTTAGTGCCGATGGCATGAATTACTTGTTAATCTATGAAGGCACCATTACTGCATACACATTTTGGTGCCATATAGATGATGTCTTTTTCAGGGACATCCCTGCTTATTTCAGCAAGACAGTGCCAAGCCACATTCTGTATGTATTACAGTAGCATGTCTTAACTGTCTCAACTTTTTTGGAATAGGGTTTTGTATAATGTGATCTATACAGGAATCACGGACCCTATCATAGTTAGTCCAAAACAGACCAAAAGTAATTGTCCAAGTGTGTTTACCTACAACAGAGATAGCAAAAAAGTCTATTGCTACTTATATTGGATTTGCACTTTGAGTAAACCTAGCAAAGCAGTGGTGAGCCCAGCAATAGTAGGATGGTAGTCAAGACCACCGATGTCAAGTCAAAGACAAGTCCAAGACTATGACTAGTCAAGACCAAGTTAAAAGGGGGCTGATACCATGTTGATGATGAGACCAAATGACAGCGATATTGAGTCTTCTTCAGAACAAAGACTTTACAAGTCTGTAATTGCTTACAAAGCAAATTTCTTGGTCTTTTCAAATTGTTTGATGTGTCCCTATAGATTTACTTGGGACGGAATTAAAGCTTAGAGTTATTGCTTTCATTTTGCTGTACTGTATAAATGAATCTGCAGAGTTCTATAATCTATTAGATAATTGCACTCAATTTAAATTCTGTAAATGTCTCAGACTTTAGCACTAAGTACTACAGCACTAAGCAAAAGCAATCAACATGACAGTCAACAAAAGACGACAGCACTGGATGAGAGAAGAATACTTTTAGTCATGAAGTAAAACACACTTTTTAGTATGCAGGCACAGATGTATCAAAGACTACCTTAAAAAAAAAGAATACACCAGATTGTTTATCACAAGATGCAAACAGTTTATAAGGCTTGAGCACAGTTTTGTGAACAGACGGTACAAACATTAAATTGTACCAGAGTGATAGAAATTATTGGGGGAAATTCACAAGATTCAAATTGAGAAGATTTAAAGCACACCACTTCTTTGCAACAGGATTTAAAATATTTAACCTGCATTTGGGTTTAGATAGTGTGTTCCCACCAACTAGTATGATCACTGAATTGACTAATTCAGTTAGCTAATGTATTCACAGTTGCATGAGATGTTCTATATAATTTTACACTAAAAGAAGCACAATATGTTTTGTTTTATAGATGGATGAGTTTATAGAGGAGGTCTATGACAGTATAACTGTTGACGAAATTAAAGAAACACAGACCCATGAAGATCTTCCCTCAGCTGTCAGTAAGATTAAGGATTATTTTGAATAGCAAGACCGCATGGATTTTAATATAAGCAAAAATGTACAGTACATCACTGGAAATGTTTTTGTTGATGTTTATGTTCACCAGCACACTGGGTTTGAAATAAAATAATGAGTTGGAGATTAAAGTGCAGAACAGAGCTTAAATTTGACAATATTCACATCTACACATTCAATTCCAAAAATGATAGGACAACAGGTCTTTAAAAGGTATTTAATTGAAAATTTCAAAAGAAGAGATTTATCATTTTACCTTATCAACTTTATTGCTTTATTGATTTTTATAAACATGCTAATTCCAAAACTGATGCCTGCAACAAATTCCACAAAAAAAGTAAAGAAAGTAAACTTTGTGAGTTTAAGAAGAACGTTTCTTAACACATGAATTTTAAGATTTTACATTAAAAGAAGTACAATGTGTTTTATTTTATAGATGGGTGAGTTTATAGAGGACTACGACAATATTACTGTTGAAGAAATTAAAGAAACACTGACCCATGAAGATCTTCCATCAGCTGTCAGCAAGATTAAGGATTATTTTGAACAGCAAGACCGCGTGGAGCTGAACATTGCTGTGACAGGAGAATCCGGCTCTGGAAAATCCACCTTCATCAATGCTTTCAGGGGAATGGGGGATGAGGAGGAGGGCTCTGCAGAAACTGGTGTTGTAGAGACCACTAAGTTTCCCACACCTTACCCACATCCAAAATACCCAAATGTCAAATTGTGGGATCTCCCTGGCATCGGAACACCCAACTTCAAAGCTGATCAATATCTTAAACAGGTTGAATTTCAGCGCTATGATTTTTTCATCATCATCGCATCAGATCGCTTCAGAGAATGCCACGCCAATTTAGCAGCAGAGATAGTGAAAATGAACAAGAAGTTCTACTTCATTCGCTCAAAGATTGACAGCAACATTGCTGCTGAGCAAAGAAAGAAGAAGAAAGTATTCAATGAGAAAAATATACTGGATGCTATCCGAAAAGACTGCATTGAAGGTCTACTTAAAGAAATTTTACTGAAGTAAAATAATGATAATTTCAGCTATTTGTTACTATGTTGCTATATTGTCCTATAAGTGTTTTAAAATCAACATTTGTTTTCATCCTAGGGCTGGAAAAGATTGGTGTAGATTCTCCTGTGGTCTTCCTGATCTCATGCTTTGACCTTGCTCTCTATGATTTCAACTATCTTGAAATGACCATGGAGATGGAACTTCCCCAGCACAAGAAACATGTGCTGATGCTGGCCCTTCCAAACATCACTCTGGAGATCAATGAGAGAAAGAAAAAGGCACTGCAGAAAAATATATGGAAGTTGGCTCTGCTGTCTGCTGGTGTTGCAGCTGTTCCCATCCCTATAGCGAATGCAGCTGTTTCAATCATTGTAGATGTGACGATTTTGGTGGTAGAGCTTAAAAGATACTACAATGCCTTCAGTGTTGATCCTGCCTCCTTGCAGAGGCTCTCTGACAGATCAGGAAAGTCAGTAGATGAGCTAAAAGCAGTAATGAAGTCTCCTTTGCATGCAGAAATAAACAAAGATCTGGTTGTTAAGTTGTTGGCTGGCTGCACTGTTGGTGCTTTAGAAGCAGCAGCAGAATTTTGGCTGGGTCTCATCCCTGTTGTGGGATCTCTGGTAGCAGGTCCACTTTCTTTTGTCACAGTGTATTTCACACTGAAGAGCTGTCTTAATGGACTGGCTGAAGATGCCCGCAATGTGCTCATGGCTGCTCTGCAAACTCCAGTTTGAAAACAAGTGTATTCTGTATAAATTCTGTAAGGTACCTTTATTTATCACTGCCTGTCCTAAAAACTTGTCTAATGTCCCCATAACATCATGGCCTAAGCAATGATCTGAGCTGAATTATAGTCGCTTTTCTTTAAAATTCTGATCCTCGTTATGGCGCTGGATACACTAACATCTTGTGGCACATGATGTATGCAGCAGTCGGATTCAAATGAAAGATGAAACTACTGATGGTAAAACTTTCTGTAGTGTAGGGACAGATTGTGATACGGCTGCCAATAATGTGGCAGATGGAGAACATTTATCTACGATTAATGAATTAATGATAAGATGGATTGGTTTGTGTTGGCCCAATCAAAGCCTTGAGCTGACTTACACTGAGAATCAGCAGCAAGTATAAATACCTAAAATATCTATAAACATTAGAAAAAAAATCATCACTGTGCAATGATTCTATAAAATGCCTTGCAGTTGTTTTGGGGTTTGTGTTTGTTTTGTGTGGAGGCTTATTGTACCTTGTTTTACAATCTTCAGTCAGATTATTAAAGTTTACAACAGTAGTTGCTTAGCATCTCACGTGTGCACACACTATGTCATCCTAATGAAAAGAGAGAATGTGAATGTGGTGTCCGAGTGTGGCTATATTTGTCTTTAAATCTGTTGGAACTGTCCTTATAGTTTAAATACTTTATGCCTAACAATAAAAGATTCTGTATTACTTTCTTGGGTGAGCAGCAAACTTCGCTTTATTTGGAAAATCACACTACAGTGAGAGCCTTCCTGCAGAACAGCAGGCTAATGCCTGAGCTTAGCACCCTGCGCACCGTGTTCTGATCAAAATGCTGAGGTTTACACCTCACACAGCTGTAGTCTAATGCCCCCAGTCCTGGGGGGCTCACTGCCCTGCACAGTGTCAAGTGTTCCATGCTCCAGCACGCCTAATCCAACCCCTTAAGATAATTATGAAGCCCTTTATGAACTGAATTAGGTGTGCTTGGACACAGAACAGACGACGCCGTGCAGGGCAGTGGGTCCCTACCACTGGAGTTAAGAGCCAATGGTCTAATGGACCAGTGGGTCTCAACACAGCCATCAGACACTCACACATAAAATGCACACACATATACATAAAAATCAGCAAAATTAGACTGACAAAAATGTCTGGAAAATGTTATCCTTTAAGAATAACTGATACAGCAACTACCAATGTAATACAAATTTCAGTTGAGCATAACTGATTCAAAAAAGTACCAGATTCAAAAGTAACTCAGTTAGTAAAATAACAATACAAAAAGCACAAAAACAGCCTTGAATCCAAACAACACATGTAAAGCTTTACTGTGCTCGCTCACACAGTGGTCCTCTACGCTCATGTCACACTCAACGTTTATACATTAGCAGATAGCAGTTAGTTCACTGCAAGGTCAGGCGGGCAGTAAAAGCGATGTCATCAGGAGGCCCGTGAGTGATGCCATGGTGGCATGGACGTGCACTTTGTAGCAGTTTGGTCTGTGTGCTGTTGTAGGTAGTTCATCCCAAAGATGTTCGATGGGGTTAAGGTCAGGGCTCTGCTCAGGCCAGTCAAGTTCTTCCACACAAAACTCATTCAGCGATGCCTTTATGGAGGTTGCTTTGTGCACTTGGGCACAGTCATGCAGGAACAAAAAAAGGGCCTTACCCAAACTATTCACACAGAGTTGGAAGCATACAATTGTCCAAAATGGCTTGTTTTAAATGGTTTAAATGGAATGACTGCGAGTGAAATCGAAATCTGACCCATGTACAGATTTTTGCACCAGGTTTAACACCTCAGAGAACTAATTTGTCATTTTGCTCAATACATCAATGCTCCATAATTTTAGAGCCTATATATTTTGACTCCTCCAGCATGTGCAAACACATTCATCGGTTTCGTTGGTAAAGAGTGGTTTAGTGCCTTATCATAACACTTAACACAGGCACGTCGGGCATGCGCACACATCAAGATTAGGTGGACAGCAAGACCGCAGACGGCGCGCAAACCTGAAGCGAACATGTTACTGTTTACAGTAACGTTTCCATCGCTGCAGTTTTCTCGGTGATATAGTTTAATAAAGCTATCACACAAGCACCTGTAGAGGCGATCCTGCTCAGTAAATCTCCCTTCAAATTCATTCATTTTGAACACATAAAACGTATGTCAGAAATGACACAATCACAGCGCCTCCAAAACTGTGTACTGGCCCTGTGCGATATCGCAGCGCGTGGTTCTGCACCTCCGAATTTTTGTAACTTGGTGCTCATCGCCCACAGCTGTCACTACCTGACTGGAACTGGAGACCCAATTTGCGCAGCAAAGGTACGTCATTTCTGCTATCGCTTACACTGTTCCTGCACATGCGTAGTACAAATCAGGTTTTCGCTTGTTAATTCATCTTCTCCAGTGTTCGAATGTCAAAACATGTTCCACAGCGCACATATCCGGAGTGTTACACCTCAGCTAGCCGAGATTCACTTTAACAACGTGTTAGTAAAGCTAGCCCACGTGCAGATACATTAGTCAAGGGTCTCGGTGCTTTTTGCCATCTAGACTCTTCAGTGCTTTACATGTGATGAGATGACGAACTGCATGGGTGGAAGTCCAGAAAATTCCATGACTTTTCCAGGCCTGGAAAACCGAACTTCTATATTCCATGACTTTTCCAGGATTTTCATAACCATTTACATTACTACCCAGTCTTATCAATGATTCATCATCATCGTCTATATGCTCTTAGCATACTTAATTATTCATTCACTGTGACTCACTATATTGACGTAAATAACGTGAGGCAGGCAAGTGCGCTCACACTGTATTTGAATGCTGCTGTTACACCTATAACTAAATGTCACAGCATAATTATACATGACTCATTGAGCTAAACAGCCAGTGGCCTCTTACTTTTGATGCTGCACTTTATTTGATTCATGTTATTTAAATAAGTAAACAATTTTCAATTATGAATTTAAAATAGCCCACTGAAGAGTAAACAAAGTTATTTATGGCGCATCTATGGCACATAAAAGCACCAGAGATGTGCTAATGCATTTCATATGTTTATTTATTCCACACAGCTAACGGCAGATAAATAAATAAATAAACAGCCAATGTTTCTGTGAAGAAATCGGAACCGGCCATAAAAAATTATGAACAGTATGCCCCTAGAAAAGTGTATGTGTGTGTGTGTGTGTGTGTGTGTGTGTGTGTGTGTGTGTGTGCGTGTGTGAGAGTGTGTCATCATGCATATCCATGCATACCCAAAGCATCCACAATACCTCCCCAACCCCCCCACAATGCTGTAATTATAAAATACAAAATACAGAAACAGATTAACTTACAGAGCTGAAGTGGCCCTTCCAGTATTTACAGTACATCCAGTAAACTGAAGTTTGTTAAACTCCATTCTTCTCTTTTTGAAGCATTCTTGGTCTGAAATCAAACTATAAACCTGACCAGGGAGAGAACAGATGACTTCACCAAAGGAACGATTAAAATAAACACACAAAACATGAACTACAGTGTTAATGACTAAAGTGTAATTTAAGTAGCAGATTATTCTTCTCACAATATTTGAGTAGAAGTAAAGGTATTATTTAAAATACTTAGGAAAGTACACATTCATGAAAATTTCACTTAAATACCTGTAACTGAGTAGGAATGTACCAAGTTATTATCCACCTTTGTTCATGACTGCATCTACATGTCGTATCTGTCTTCAGCAGTTTCACTAGCATTTTAATCTGAAAAAATGTACAGTACATCATTGGAAATGTTGCTGTTGTTTATGTTCTCGAGCTCACTGGGTTTGAAATAAAACAATGAGTTTGAGATTAAAGTGCAGAACATCAGCTTTAATTCAACAACATTTACATATACACACCCAATAACAAAAAAGTTAGGACAACAGGTCTTTTACAGGTATTCAATTGAAAACAGCACAAAGAAGAGAGATTTAATATTTTACCTGATCAACTTTATTGATTTTTGTAAATATACGCCAATTTCAAAATTGATGCCTGCAACACATTCCACAAAAAAAAACACTTTGCAAAAAACTTTGGGAGCGAATAGTCTAAAAGTTTAAGAAATCAAGAATTTAAGGATCTCACCATATACAGTCCATGACATCATTAAAAGATGCAGAGAACCCAGAGAAATCTCTGTGGGTAATGGATGAGGCCAAAAATCAATATTGTATGCCCCTGGCCTTTAATTGTTCAGATGGCAATGCCTTACAAAACACATGTCTCTGTAATGAATATAACCACATACGGTTGGGAATGCTTCAGAATATCCTAATCAGTAAGCACGTCAGCGCTGCATCTACAAATGTAACATCCAGAAACAATGTCGACTCTGGACTAAAGCTCATCTGAGATGGACTCACGCAAAGGCGAAACGTGCTGTGGTCTGACGAGTAAACCTTTCAAATTGTTTTTGGAAATAATTGGACCTTGTGTTCTCTGGGACAAAGAGGAAGAGCACCGTCCAAATTGTTACCAGCACAAAGTTTAGGTGACAGCTTCTGTCATGGTATAGGGGTGTGTTAGTGCCGGTGGCATGAGTAACTTGTTAATCTATTAAGGCACCATTTATGCATACACATTTTGGAGCAGCATATTTTGCCATCTAGATGATGTCTTTTTCAGGGACATCCCTGCTTTTTTCAGCAAGACAGTGCCAAGTCACATTCTGCATGTATTACAGTAACTTGTCTAAACTCTCTGAAATCTCAACATTTTTGGAATTTGGTTTGTATAACATGATCCATTATTCAGAAGATTAAAATTCAGAGGATTCAAAGCACACCACTTCTATGCAGGATTCAAAATATTTAATCTGCATTTGGGTTTAGATAGTGTGTTCCCACCAACTAGTATGATCACTGGGAAAAACAATCCAGCTGAAACTTAATGTAGTGTTGATGCATGATCTCTAGAGTTAATTGCACAGAGGAGAAATTTTAGAACTCCTGGTCGATATGCTAGGTTTTATGTTACTTGCAGCTAATGTATACATCATTGCATATGATGTTCTATATGATTTGACTCTGAGTTTTACACTAAAATAGGTACAATGTGTTTTGTTTTATAGATGGATGATTTTATAGATGAGGACTTTGACTTTATTACTGTTGAAGAAATTAAAGACTGACCCATGAAGATCTGCCATCAGTTGTCAGCAAGATTAAGGATTATTTTGAACAGCAAGACCGTGTAGAACTGAACATTGCTGTGACAGGAGAGTCCGGCTCTGGAAAATCCTTCATCAATGCTTTCAGAGGAATGGGGGATGAAGAGAAGGGCTCTGCAGAAACTGGATCTCTGGCTCACTTTCCTTTGTCACTGTGTAT